AACAATAAAAGGATAAAAATAAAATAAAATAAATTAAACTATCTAAGCCCAACTCCTACGTCACGAAACTCGTGACACTATTGTGCTAAAATACTATCGTTAAAAATATTTAGATTCCGAGTTTTAATCCCAAGTTATATTGACATTTATAAATCAATACTCATTTAAGAATAATCAGATTACAAAAATATCCTTTTTAAATCAAAGTTCACGAATATAGTTGTTAGACGAAACATTTTCGTATAATGACGAAAGACGAAACCTAAACTCCCAAAAGACGAAACCTATGAAGAAAGTTGAAACCCAAAATTCTTCTGACAAAAGACGAAACATTAAACTTAAACTTAAAAATATGAGACCCTAGTGGTCCTCTATAAAAAAAAAAAAAAAAACAAAACAAACCAAAACAAAAAAAAAGAAACAATTGTTATATTCATTGAATTAACATTCATAATTTCATAATTTATTCAGAGATTAGTATCCGAAGTTACATATATGCCAGCAAAAATAAACCAGTTCATTTTTCTAGACAACGTCAGGGTTTAATAGACCGGTTGAAATAACCTTGCCAAAAAGTCACCGTACTCATGGAATAACACAAATAACGAATTAAAAACATATAACATAAAATAAATTTGTAAGATCACTAGAACTGATACGTAGTATACTAGTATAATGTATTACAGAATACTCATTTCTATGAATTTCACCACATGCAATTATTTCCCATTTTGTATAATCATTCGGGTCCCCGCCAAAATATATAATATCCGAAATTTTATTACCACGGTGAATATATACGCCTTTTATTAGTTTTGCCACCCTTTACAGTTTCGTCATTTAAGATTTTAATTGACGAAAGATGAAATTAGCGAAGCCTTGAAGTTTTGTCTAACAACTATAGTTCCAACCCAAAGAAACGAGAGCTTTTAAAAATCTTTCGTAATTAAAAAGCACCATCTAAAACAAGAATAAAACAATAAAAATCGTATAAAATATTAACATAATTTATTCATAAAAAGGTACAGCATACTCACATTTTTTCGGATACACTTCTAATGAAGTTTAGCATAGACTCTTTGAAATCTAAAGAAAAAGGGACATCATCTTTGGACCACAATTGAATGATACACCTGGCTTCGTTAATATTTGTTATCGTGTTTACTTCATTTATGCGGCGCTGTACTCTTTCAGTGATGTTAGATGATGGCACCAGATTATCTAAGGTTTGACGATATTTTTTTTTCTATTACCGGTAAGCTTTAGGGATATTCTTTATATACAGTAACTTAAAAAATAAAAAATAAAAAACACTTACGATGTATTGGCATTTTTGTTTATAGGATATATGATGTCCCTGATTGTTATTCCGTTTTCAAGTCTTACATTGTCCTTATTAAAAAAAAATCTACCGTAATTATAATAGTGCAATATCTCTTATTCCTTCACAAAGTTCTGTTTTTAATAAGAACTCTTAGTTAATGGATTTTTCGCTCCAGCTTGATACGTAAGAATGAGCTATTAATTGATTGTGCAAATCATGAGTATCGTCAATGGATCTTAAAAGGTTATTGGTTTTCAGTTCACATTAACAACATGCGATTTTTCTCATAGATACGTTAAATTTTCTACTTTGTAAATTCGCAGTTTTTACCTTTATGTGTTGCTTTCGTTGCTTTTTCATATCTTGATTGTTTAACCTTTTTAACATTTCGAACTTTATTTATATTAATAAAGTATTAATAGGTTATTTAAATAAAGTGTTTGAATTTTTTTTTAAAAAAAAACAAAGAATTATTCTTTTTGAAATAATAAAGAAAACAATTACGAAAGAGTAAAGTAGAAAATAATTATGATCGTATTATCATTACAGTATGCATCAATTACATCATGTATGCCGATCTTTGTCAAAATAATCTAATTCTGGTTGGGAGATGTGATTAGCAAATTTCACCAGAATTAGATTGGTTTGACAGCATGATGAGTCCAATCAGCTCCTCACTAGTGTTCCAAATCGAAAATCGATTAAATCGACTGAAAATTTTATTAAACAACAAATCGATTAACCAGTTAATTGATCCAAGAACCAAGAGTAGCGAAAACTTACCTTCTGCGCATTTCAAAATTTTATTACGAACCCAATTTAGCAACGAAAATGTAGCCTTGATCTAATAGTGAAGCTTTTTTCAGCGAATGGATGTTAAACTAGGTTCGTATCATTAAAGATGGTAAATTTTTAGTCTATACAGAAATTTGCTTAATGAAATTTAGATTAATTTAACAAAATGGATTTCTTGTTATTCTAAAAAAATATTAATAACCAACCTATACCTAAACCAGCAAAACATGAATTCGTAATCGATGCATCTCTTCTTTGCGATCTAGGGCCAAAACTTCTTTAGAGAAACTAGATTTTTTTTAACATATAGTTGATAAGTGAATCTTAATTTATTACTATATTTCTCGATCCGAATCTATGTAATTCACGCTTTTGATTAAAATTCATATAAAGAATATAATAATAAAATGAAATAATAAAATATTATTTGTGATTCTTTTCGTTCTTTAAATTATATAGTTCGTATTGTGTTAAACATTTATGTAGATTCATTCTATTTTTTTTCAAATAAAACTTTTAATATCCCAATAAGCAACACAGAAATTGATCGATTACCAATCATTAGTACTGATAAAGTTTTTTCTATCACACGAATACTTTACTACACAATATCAAAAACCTTATTTTTATTTTTCATCATTGAGCTATAAAAATTAAATTAAACATTAATATATTTTTTTTAAAATGTTATATAAATTTGTACAGGTGAATTGGAATTATTAGGCATAGTGTGAAATTAAAATGCTTATGAAATTTTGCGCAAGTAAAAATAATTGATGAAAATATATATAATAACAAAATCTAAAAACATTAGGTACTCAGCTTCGATTATTTGAGTCTAAAAGTTTTTGATTCAATGCTCTCTCAAATTCAACGTAATTTGTTATTATTTGTTACATGTATCTCAAGAGAAAACAGAAAAATATATGTAATAGATCTTGATAACATAAGATTGTGATATTGTGTGTTTTTTAAGATTAATAGCATCTAAAAAAAAAGCAAATAGATTGTGTATTGAAATTGATTAAATCCAATCCGTCGTTTAATGGTGAGTCTAACATTAGGGATGGCAAATGGTTTAAAACACGATCTTAAAAATCATGTTTGTTTGATTTAAATCTGTTAAAAAATGTTTTAATACATTATGACGTAATTATATTTGACTACGTAATTTAAGTTATGATAACAAAATTCAAAAAAAAAAAACGAATAGGAAAATTCTTCTCATGCTTGTGGAAGATTCTCGTCAATATTAGTCCGTTTAAACCTTACAAAGCTACTGAACCTGATAAACATGGTTGAACGACACCTTGCCAAAAATGTAACTATTGCGAAGAAGACTGTGTTCATTTAGTCGACCAATTAAAAGGTCATCCATTAAAATGTAAAAAAAAAACTTCCAAGACATATATAAGATTTATTAAAAACTCAAAAACAGGATTCTGGTTCTTCAAATAATTCATTCGAAACAACTTATTACATAATGGCAATATTGTAAACCTTGGACTTTCAATACCAACGAATGTAAAACTAATAAAGAATGAAAGGTTGTATTGGCCGACAAGCAAATTTCGCATTTTAAAATAATAACGATCGTAGCTTTGATAAAAATTAAAGCGAACAAATATATTAATTTTATTTTTTACGTTTGATAAATTCGAAATTTTATCTCAGACTTCGATGTTTTAAAAAAAGTTTTAAAACAATAAAAAACTGTTTAAACCGTTTTTTTACCATCACTATGTATACTGCACATATTAGAACAAACTACTTGTTAGACATCTACTTTTTCTGAATTTGAAATACTTTATATTCCTCTGCACAAAAGTAATCACTACTGTTTCTAATTGCTTTTTCATATGAAGCATGATAGCAACAACATCCATTATTTTGATCAAAATTATTTCCCATCCAAAGATCATTACCACTACCAAAAACTGGTCCACGAGTAGAATTGCAAATAATTGCAGATTGTGATTGTGAAGGTTTTACACGACTTAAAATAGAAGATCGAATAGTACCATTTTTCAATGAAAAGATATAGTTATCATTGCAACTCACATATTAACCATTTAATTTAACCCATTGGATTGGATTAAATCCACCAAGAACTTCATCAGTACCATTAACCTTCATTACGACAAGTGTTTGCTTGCTTGTCACATAAATTCCAAAATGATTGAAGAGTAAAACCATCTCTCGATCCACGAAGAAGCAGTTTAAACTTATATGGATTATTCATTACAGAGTAATCTTCAGTTTTCTTATCAATTCATGATGCAATTTCCGCTGCATGAATTTCATTGATAAGAAGGAAATGGTTCAAATGTTGGTGTTATGCGTGGCGGATGAATTGTTGACAATATTTTTCTATTTGGAGTAAGAAA